GACTAATCTTCGCTCCGACCGAGCTTCAAACCAAGCAAAGAAACTTAACTAAACCCGATGTGGATTAGTTATCATAAAATCCCTGTCAATTCCCGAGCAGGTAAGTTATGTTTTTCAATTGCAAGATCAACTTTTCCCTCCTTTCTCTGCTCACTGAACACAGCTCATCCCCTCCAATCTCTCTCGCGCCACCGGAGTACTCCGTCTCCCGTCACTAAAGTACTGCGTCTCGCGTCACTAGTTCCTTAAAAGGAGCAGTGCCACGAATTTCCTATCAGCATACTTTTAACCTTAATCATTAAATTGTTATATTAACATTATTCACATTTTTTAACTCTGATGAATTAACTTATATTAATTGAATCACTTACATTTCAAATTTATCTATGCAGCTTTTAAACTATTTATTCTTATTTATGTCATGTTCTAACATGGGTTACATCCTCCCCTCTTTACCTAATGCACGCCCCTGTGCATTCTGAATCTATACTGTCATAACTCTAGGGGTTTTTGGAAAACTAGGCTCTTCAAGGGAATCTATAAACACATCACTCAAGGTTTGAAATAAAGACTGAACCATTGTAACCAACGGGTTCCCTAACTCAGGGTAAGTCAGTCTTTTAGCTGCTTTCCTGTCTCTGATAGGTCTTCTAGAACAGTCACGTTCTGTCTGGATGTCAATCTGGTCCATAACACTTGTGTCTTCTTCGCCCTCTCGAACAAGTTGAGTAGAAGGATGGACACTATCTAGGCCTTCCTCAGGTAGGTCCCCAGTTTCCTGTCCAACGATTGGGCTGCTCTCTTCAGGATCAGGTAAGTCTAGGTCACAAATCTCTACAGGAACATCTTCAGGAAGAGCTTTGGCCACGTTTGAAGGATCTTGCTTATCAGCAGTCAACTCTTTGGAGGGTTCCGGATCAATCCTTTCTGGTGAGTGTTCTATCGGTTCAAGGGTCGGGTCAAAACCTAATGTTTCCACTCTTAGGGTTCTGTGTCCATCATAGTGATATTCCTCAGAGTCAGATTGGGATCCATCCCCATCAGCTCTATCTGAACTGTCATTTTTAGGATGTTGTCGAGTTCTTGGTCGTCTCACTGCCATTGATGGGTTAGTTTCACTTTCGATTGAGGCCACAGGAAGGAACCCGCATGGCAGCAGGAGGTCACGATGAAGAGTTCTTTGTGGGCCATCTCTTGTCTCAGGCCTCACGACATACACTGGGACGTCTCCAGACTGCTTCTGGACAATATACACATCAGGCTCCCACTTGTCGGCCAACTTATGTTTGCCTCTAAGACGGACGTTTCGAACCAAGACTCTGTCACCTTCTCTCAAGGTGGAATTAACAACATGCTTGTCAAACCTCGCTTTGTTGCGACTGGCTGTCTTTTTAGCATTCTCAGTTGCTACTCTGTAACTGTTCTCGAGTTGGGATTTCAGATTGCGAACATATTGCGAGTGTGAACCTGGCTGGTGATTGACCGGTAGGCCAAAGGCTAGGTCAACTGGCAATCTTGGCTGACGCCCGAACATTAACTCGTAAGGGGTAAAACCAGTTGTCTCGTTTTTGGTGCAATTATAAGCGTGTACTAATGGCTTGACGTAATCCCGCCAGTGACTCTTTTTCTGATTCTCGAGGGTTCCCAACATGTTGAGCAGGGTCCTGTTGAAACGTTCTACAGGGTTCCCCCTCGGATGGTAAGGGGTGGTCCTTATCTTTCGAGTACCAATGAGCTCACACAGCTCTTTTATTGTTCGGGACTCAAAGTCGGGACCTTGGTCACTGTGGAGTTTTTCAGGGATGCCATAATGGACGAAAAAATGGTCCCATAGGTTCTTAGCCACTGTCCTGGCTTTCTGATTCGAGGTGGGGACAGCCACTGCATATTTTGTAAAATGGTCGGTAATGACCAGAATGTCTTTGGTGTTACTGGAGTCCGGCTCCACACTGAGAAAGTCCATACACACGAGTTCAAGTGGTCTTGCTGCGACGATGTTGACGAGTGGTGCAGCTTTCTCAGGAATAGCCTTACGTCGTATGCAGCGGTTGCAGGCTTTGATCTTAGCTTCTACCTCGGCTGCCATTTTGGGCCAATAAAAACGCTTCCGGACAAGGTCTAGAGTGCGCTCTACGCCCATGTGGCCCATGTCGTCATGGAGGCTCTTGAGGACTAAGGATCTCAGGACTTCGGGGAGCACAAGCTGGTAGTGAGTTTGAGCACCCTCTTGCCGCTTGCGATACAAGACACCATTTAAGACAGTAAGTTTGTCCCACTCCCTTAATAAGAGACCAAGCTCAGGAAGTTCCTTCCTCAAGGATGGTGGGGGCCTCTCCTCTAACTCCACTTGCCTGAGTACTTCACGAATGCAGGGATCAGCATTTTGCTTGTCTCTCAATTCAGCTGGTGCTAATGAAGGGATGACAGGTAAGCCACCAAGCTGATCCTCTTCCTCAAAGCTTTGTGGTAGAGCCTTTGGATGATGGGCAAGTGACATAACCAAGATGGTGCTGGCTGATGTTTCCCCAGAGTGATTGTTGATCACTTGGCGAACCAAGTGCCTCTCACAGATAGCTTTGATGGTGTTTCCATCCAGGTGTGCATAATCAGTCTCTGATAAGTGTCTTTTTGCGAATTGTTGTATCCTCTCCAACTCTTTTTGTGACGATAAGTCATCAGGTAATCTGCCGTGGGGGCGCCTGGACAGCCCATCCGCGTCTTGATTCTGCTTACCGGCTCTGTATTGTAGCTGGAAATCAAATGTCGACAGAGCGGCTAACCATCTGTAGCTTGCGGCATCAAGCTTAGCAGAGGTAAGAATGTATGTTAGCGGATTGCTATCGGTGACAGCAAGGAACGTATTCCCATATAAATAATCTTGGAATTTCTCTGTCACTGCCCATTTAAGGGCAAGGAATTCTAATTTGTGTGCAGGATACTTGAACTCACATGTCGACAGACCTCGACTTGCGTAGGCAACTACCCGCTTCCGTCCTTGTTGCTCCTGGTAAAGGGCAGCGCCGAGTCCCGAAGTACTCGCATCTGTGTGTAAGATGTAGGGGAGTTTGGGGTCAGCAAACCCGAGGATGGGCGCTGTTGTCAGTTTTCCGATTATGGTGTCGAACGCTGCCTGACAAGCAGACGTCCATCTGTCACCAAAGAGGTCCTTTGGGTTGTAGTATTTCTCAGGGCTCTCTGTGGTTTTAGTGCGCTTTCTCAGCGGTGGATAGCCAGCAGTGAGCTCGTTGAGTGGCTTCACAATCTTTGAGTAGTCCTTCACAAACCGGCGGTAATAACCGCAGAAGCCCAGGAAGGTTCTTAGCTCTTTCAGATTGTTTGGTTTTGGCCAGGTTTCTAATGCTGCTACTTTATCTGGGTCAGTTTCGATGCCCTTTTCAGACACGATGTGGCCGAGGTACTTTACTGAAGTTTGGAAGAACTTGCACTTCCCTGGCGACAGTTTCAAGCCAAACTCTTTCAATTGGTTGAGCACGCGCATCAACCTTTCCTCGTGTTCCCTCAGCGTCGAAGAGAAGATGATGAGGTCATCAAGAAAAACTAGGACTTGTTTCAAGTTTAACTCCCCCATACAGCGCTCCATAAGCCTCTGGAACGTGCTAGGGGCATTAGTTATTCCCTGAGGCATCCTGTTAAACTCGAAAAATCCTAGTGGGCAGACGAATGCGGTTTTGTGTTTGTCTGCTTCCTCCATCTCTATTTGATAGAAGCCTGATTTGAGATCGAGCACTGAGAACCACCGGGACCCGGTCAACGCTGAGAATGACTCTTCAAGATTAGGTAAGGCGTATGAATCTTTTACTGTTTGGGTGTTCAATTTTCTGTAATCTATGCAGAGTCTGACATCGCCATTCCTTTTCCTGACGACGACAATCGGCGAGGAGAAGGGTGACTCCGATTCACGGATGACTTCAGCATCAAGGAGTTGCTGGAGGTGGTTACGCACAGCCTCTATGTCTTGGGGGTGTATAGGTCTTGATCTATGCTTGAATGTTGTCTCGTCACTGAGGGTTATGTGGTGTTTTATCTTGTCGGTGTGACCAAAATCAAGCTCGTGCAGTGCGAACACTTCTGGCATGGCACTTAATTTCTCAGTTATTCTCTCTTTCCACTCATTGGGTACGGGAGAGTCAGTGAAGTCAAGGTTGAGATTTAACTTTCGGTCTGGTTCTGTGGGAAGGTCTGAGTCAGGGGTCTTAATTGATTGAACACTCTTGACAGCGTGTATCTCTGCTATTACAGCCTTTGGGGATAGGGTGATGTCATGATGTGACTCATTCTTGAGCATGACTGGTATGCAGCGTGGTAGTTTTGGTGGTAGGCCTACCAAGCTATCCGTCACCAGGATGCCACCTGGCAGGGAAAATAATTTTGGTGACTGTACCATCACCCAATTTCCAACACCAGCTGTCCTGCAACTCACTGTTCCTTTAAGAACTTTGGTCTGTCCAGCTGCAATAGTCTCAAAGTCCCTACTATGAAGTCTCACCTCTCCTAAACTGGAATCAACAGACTGTCTTTTCCTGATTTCAAGGGTCTTTAAAACAACTTTATAGCCGTAAGGAAGAGACTCATAGTCCTGAGGTGCGATATCTGCATACTTTTCATAAAGGACATCCAAAGCATTTGTGCCTATAAGCACTGATGACAAGGTGGAGCGCATGTCAGGTACGACTAAAACCAGTGTGGGCACCTCAATGTCCGCTCCAAGCACGCTCTTTGGAAATCTGATGGTGGCCTCAATATAGCCAAGGTAAGGGACGCTTTGGCCGTTGGCTCCTTCCACTTCAAGCAGATCATTCAAAGAATTCATAGGTAAGTGTGACAGGTTCTCTAAATAGAAGGAGTTGGGGATCGTTGTCACCTGAGAGCCTGAATCCAACAAGCATCTGCAGTCTTTGTTACCTATGGTCACTTGTGCAGTGCACTTGGCTCCAATCAGCCCTTTTGGCAGGGTCACTGTCTGTTTTTGTGTGTGAGAATACACACGGGCTCTGTGCAGCTTCTTTTTGGGACACTTTGTCTGTGTTCCAGTCCCCGTCTGTCCCACAACCGGAACTGGACCTAGTTTAAACAATTAGGCTTCGGAGCACTATTTTCATTGTCCCATGTCAACTGCTTTTCTCTTAGCTGCTTCCTCTTCTCAGCTACAAGAGATGGGTTCGGCTCACTTTCACACTGAGGTTTAATGTGTCCGTTCTCTCCACATCTAAAGCAATACCAGGGCCTTGGTCTATTGCTTGTGTTGTTGTTTACATCTCGGCTATAGTGCGGCCTTTGAGATGTTGGAGTGATGGCTGTTTGGGGAGCTACTGGTCTGGCAGCTGATTTAGCCTTCCTACTGTCTTTCTGGGTGATACGTGTGAGCTGGGACTGTAAATCAGCTATTTGTTTCTTTAGGTCTTGGATTTCGGACCTGTGATCAAGAGCTGGCTGAGGTGGATTGCAGTCCTCCTCACTCTGCACATAAATACTCTGATAATAAGAAGACGCTCTTGGCTTTGCGATATTGAGGTGTCGTCTCATGCGGGATGCTTTGGAAGCACGCTTATCTTCTGCTATGCGGAGTAACAGGAGAAGTTCAGCAAAGGTAGGTGGGTTCTGTTTCTTTTGTTCTAGCTGGAGTTCAGCTATCAAGATGTTGTCCCAGCAGCCTCTGACAAACTGTCTGAGAAGATGCCGGTCAAGGTCGCTTGCAGTTACACCTCCCCTCCTGAGGGTGGTGTTCAGCATCACCTGTAGCCGTTGTAGATAAGCTGAGGGTTTCTCACCATTATCTTGCATTGTGTTAAGATACTTTGCGAAAAGGTCATCTCCATCCTCGACAGTGCCGAAAGCGGAGTCCAAGATCTCTAAGTACGCATTAAGGGGAGATTCAGGCATCAGGTGCTTCACAATATCAATGGCAGGTGATAAGAGACTTTCAAGAAGCTTCCGTGACTTGTAAAGACCAGACTGCGTTGTGTCTTTAAGAAGAAATTCCACATTGGAACGCCATGTCTCATAATCAACTTCGTTGTTAGATCGGGGAAAGCGCCCAGAGAAGGGTCTGAGTCTCAAAGAAGTGTGCACCTGCAAAGCAGAATCTTCATTCCTCACTATGTGCTCGACTATTACCTTTTGTATGTCAGGTGGGTTGACGTCAGAAAATTTCAGAGCAGGCCGTGTCTTTTCTTTAGATGGTGGTAGAGACCAATGATGTTGAATATGCTGCCCTGGGGTATCAGGTGAGTTCTGTTCTGTATCTTCATCTTGGGTTTCTGATTGATCTAGATCAACATCCTCACTGATAGCGGAGAGCTCTTCCCTGAGGACAGCTGCAAAGTCCTTGCCAGTCAGTTTTGCAATGTCCTTTAACCCTGAAAGGTAAACCTGTGTAGCTGTTTTGCTAGCTACAGGTGTGTAGACACTGGCTAGGGCTCTAATGTGATAAGTGACATCAGTCTGAATCTTACTGCTGAGTCTGCGTGGCAATGAAGGTAAGAGAGATTGCATAGCTGTACCATACACATACTCTACTACAGCCTGTTTGCCTGACGCTGGCTCAGCGAAATCTACCGGAATTACCCTTCGAATGGAACCATATTGTTTCAGGAAATCATATAGTTCTTCATCAGCTTCTGTACGAGCTATACCACTAACTATGACCGAGTTAGGGATTTTCACGCTACTCGTTTGAATAACATCCATAACGAATCACTGATAATAATACTATACGGTCTCTGGTTTCTAGTTTTAAATGCTTTAAGCCACTCCTGGCTGGCTCGCCAAGTTGTAGCACCGGTATCACACCACTTACAGCGCCACTGGACCAGTTCTAGGTTCTAAGGAGTGGGGAGCAAAAATAATTACACCAGAGACCGTTGATTTATATACAAAAAGCCGGCAATTTACTGAATACAAACACACATGGA